CACTTCCTTGGTTGCTTCTTTTGATGTACAGAAGCTTTTTAGTTTAATGAGGTCCCATTAGTTGATTCTTGACCCTGTTTCCTCAGCAACTGATGTCTGGTTTAGAAAATCCTTTCCTACACCTATATCTTTTAGGTTTTTCCCAATGTTTTCTTCTAACAGTTTCAGAGTTTCAGGCTTTACATTGAGATCTTTCATCCATTTGGAATTGACTTTTGTGCAAGGTGAAAGATAGGGGTTTAGTTTCATTCTTCTACAGGTGGAGATCCAGTTTTACCAGCACCATTTGGTGAACATACTATCTTTCCTCCAGTGAATGTTCTTGGCCCCTTTGTCAAATATCAGGTGGCTGAAATTGCATGTACTCATATTTGGGTCTTCAATTGTGTTCCATTGATCTATGGGTCTATTTTTGTGCCAGTACCATGTTGTTTTTATTACTATAGCTCTGTAACTCAGTGTAAAGTCTGGTATAGTAATTCCTCCAGCATTTCTCTTAGTGCTCAGGGTTGCTTTGGCTATCTGAGGTCTTTTGTGCTTCCATATGAATCTTAGGATTTTTTCCAATGCCGTGAAAAATTTCATGGGGATTTTGATTGGCACTGCATTGAATCTATAAACGGCTTTTGGTAGGACAGTCATTTTCACAGTATTGAGTCTTCTAATATATGAGCATGGGAGGTCCTTCCATCTCCTGGTATCTTGCTCTATCTCTTTCTTCAAAGATTTAAAATTTTCACTGTAGAGATCTTTAACGTTTTTGGTTATGTTTATTCGTAAATATTTTTTTCTGAGGCTATTGTGAATGGAAGGATTCCATGAATGATCTCACATATATATATATACACACTATTGTGAAAGGGAGTGTTTCCATGTACTCTTTCTCTGATTGCTTGTTACTGGTATATAGACTTTTGTAGATTAATTTTGTAACCTCCCACTTCACTGAACGTGTTAATAATTTCTACGAGTTTTCTGCTGGAATTTTCGGCATCTCTTAGGTATAATATCATATCATCTGCGAAAACGGATAATTCTATCTCTTCTTTTCCAATGATTACTCCTTTAATTTCCTGCTCATCTTATTGTTCTAGCAAGAGTTTCAAGCACTATGTTCAAAAGGAGTGGAGATAGTGGACAGCCTTGCCTGGTTCCTGATTTCAATGGGAATGCTTCCAGTTTTTCTCCATTTACAATGATGTTGGCTGTGGGTTTGTTGTATATGGCTTTACTTATGTTGAGGTATGTTCCCTCCAGTCCAATTCCCTCTAGGACTTTGAACATAAATGCATGTTGAATTTTGTCAATGGCCTTCTCTGCATCTATTGAGATGACCATGTGGTTCTTGTCTTTGAGCCCATTTATATGATTTATGACGTTTATTGACTTATTTATATTGAACCATCCCTGCATCTCTGGGATAAAGCTGATTTGACCATAGTGGATGATCTTTTTGATGTGTGTCTGTATGCGGTTTGAAAGTATTTTGTTGAGAATTTTTGCCTCTATATTCATTAAGGATATGGGTCTACTTTTCTTTTTTGGTTGTATCTTTAACTGGCTTTGGTATTAGAGTGATGCTGGCTTCATAGAAGGAATTTGGAAGTTCTCCCTCCATTTCTATCTTTTTGAATAAATTAAGCAGTATTGGATGTAGATCTTCTTTAAATGTCTGGTAGAATTCTGCTGTAAATCCATCTGGTCCTGGGTTGTTTGTTTGTTTGTTTGTTTGTTTTTAGCCAGGAGGTTTTGTATTACTGTTTCAATTTCCTTATGTGTTATGGGCCTGTTTAAGGTGTTAATTTCTTCTTGGTTTAGTTTTGGTGGTTCCCATGCTTTCAGATACCTGTCCATTTCTTTTACATTTTCAAATTTAGTAGTGTACAGGTTTTTAAAGTATTCTCTTAAAATGTTCTGGATCTTTTTGGTGTCTGTTGTGATGTTACCCCTTTCATCTCTGATTCTGTTGATTTGGAGGTGCACTTTCTTTCTTTTGGTTAACTGGGCTAGTGGTCTGTCATCTTATCTTTTCAAAGAAAAGAACCAGCTCTTTGATTTGTTGATTCTTTGTATTGTTTTCTATGTTTCAATTTCATTAATTTCTGCCCTGATTTTTGTTATTTCTTCTTGTCTGCTGGGTTTGGGTTTTGTTTGATGTTGCTTTTCATATGTGTTGAGTTGCAATGTTAAGTAATTTGTGTTCATTCTGTATCATGGGGTTCCTCTAAGTAGTTCTCATGTAGAATGCTTCTATAGAACCGATGGGGATTGGTGGGGAACATATTGTTTTGGTTTTTCATATTATTTGTATTTTTTCATTGTGGTCTGGGCATGTATTCATCATTCAGGAGTGTGTTGTTTAATCTCCATGTGTTCATGTGGTTACTGGAGTTTCTTCCGGCGTTGATTTTAAGCTTTATTGCATTGTGGTCTGATAGAATGCATGGAATTACTTCAATCTTTTTGTATTTGTTGAGGTTTGTTTTGTGCCCCAGTATATGGTCGATTTTGGAGAAAGTTCTATGGGGTGCTGAATAAAAAGTATATTCTTTGGTGCTTGGGTGGAATATGTGGTAGATGTCTGTTCAGTCCATTTGACATATGGTATTGTTTAATTCAGATGTCTCTCTGCTAATTCTCTGTCCTGTTGACCTATCTAATGAACACAATGGGGTACTGAAGTCCACCACTATTAATGAGTTGGGATTAACCTGGGTCTTAAGTCCTGTAGTACTATTTTTAAGAAGTTGGGTGCACCAGAGTATGGTGAATATATGTTCATGATTGTAATATCTTCTTGATCAATTGTTCTTTTGATCAGAATGAAGTGGCCCTCTTTATCTCTTCTGATTAGTTTTAGTTTGCAGTCTATTTTGTCAGATACTAGAATTGCTACGCCTGCTTTTTTCTTAGTGCCATTTGCTTGGTATATTTTTTCCATCCTTTCACCTTAAGGTCGTGCCTGTCCTTGAAAGTGAAATGAGTTTCTTGCAGACAACAAAAAGATGGGTTTTGTTTCTTAATCCATTCAACTATTTTGTGTCCTTGGACTGAGTAGTTCAGTCCATTGATAATTTAAAGTTATTAATGAAAGATGTGTATTGAATCCTATCATTTTTATTTCTGTTCACATTCTTGGTGTAGTTGTGCATTTCCACAGTTATACCTTCATTAAGTTTCTTTCACTAATCCCTTGGGTATAGTCATTCCTTTCTTCAGCTCTTTGTATTGCTTCAAAATTCTCTGAAGGGCTAGTTTTGTGGACATGAATTCTTTCAGCCTATTTATGTCATGGAAGATTTTTCTTTCCCCTTCGACTCTAATAGACATTTTGGCTAGGTAAAGTAATCTGGGTTGGCATCTGTGGTCATTTACAACTGGGAATACTTTGGTCTAGGCTCCTCTGGCTTTCATAGCTTGTGCTGAAAAGTCAGCTGTAATTCTGATGGGTTTTCCTTTATATGTGACTTGTTGTTTTTCTTTTGCAGCTTTCAGTATTGTCTCTGTTCTGAACGCTTAACGTTTTTACTATGATGTGCCATGGAGAGTTTCTTTTCTGGTCTTGTCTATTTGGTGTTCTATAAGCTTCTTGTATTTCTATGGGCATGTCTTTCTTTAATTTGGAGAAATTTTCGTCTATGATTCTGTTGAAGATCTGGTCCATGCCATTATCCTTAGATTCTTCTCCTTCCTGTATGTCTATGATTTATAAGTATGATCTTTTTATGATGTCACACAATTCCTGCATATTCCATTCTTGTGTTTTCTTAAATTTTTCATAATCTTTGCTTGAGTGGTCTAATTCATCCACTTTATCTTCTAGTCTTGATATTCTGGTTTCCATTTCATTCATCCTATTGGTGAGGCTTTCTCCTGTCATTTCTAACTGGCTTACTGAGTGTTTCACTTCCTTCTTCATTTCAGCCTGAACATTCTTCAATATTTCTAACTCTTTTCTGAATTCATTCAGAAGTTTATCCCTATCTTCTTTCAGTTCTTTGATTTCTTTGCATGCTCCTTAAATTCACTGAATTCTTTTATCATGTTTACAATTGTTCTTTTGAGTTCCATTTCCTGTGTTAACTCTAGGGGGTTCTCATCGTACTCCTCTAGAGGACTGGTGGTACTTGGTGGGGATATGTTATTTTGATTTTTTCATGTTATTATTTTTTCTCTGTGACTTTGACATGTGGATTTCTTTTGTAGATTCTGGTTCTTGTGTGAGATTCAATCCTTCCTTTGTTGAGTTTAGGTCTGCTTTTTTTATAAACTTTATGTGCCTTTGTGGTTTACTTGTTGGGCATGAAAAGCTGGTTGGTCTAGGCTTCAGGTTCTGTCTTTTGATTTTATATTAGAGCAGCCAAATTGCTTTCGTCTTGCTGCTCAGTAGTTCCCAGAGGCCCAAGTCAGATGAGGATCAGATGCTCTCAGGCTTTCTCCTAAGGTCTGGATCCCTCCAGGAAAGATGCTGGCCTCGGGAATTTGAGGGCTGGGCTGGCCTGGGAGCAGGGCCCAGGAAAGAACTGGCCCCCATGGATGCAAAGGGAGGTGGGGGTGAGAAGACACCTGAGGGCTCCTGGGGACTACAGGGAGGAATTGGGTTGGTCTGGATGCAAAGGGTCAGGAAGGGTGGGGATTCTGGGCTAACATGTCAGTCCATGGGTCTAGGGTGTCACAATAAGAGATGGGCCAGTGCCTCTGCTAGGAGGAGAGATGGGGTAGGGGGGCTGGGAGGGTAAATGGGGCTGGGGGAGTCAAGGCGCAGTGGGTGCAGCACCCAAACTTACCCAGGCAGGCAGCTGGCTCCAGGAGCTATGGGGCTATGGGGCTCTAAATTTATATTTAAACCTATGTTTTACCATCTGCTTAGTGTATATTATTACATGTACTTGTAAAATTATATTCATTTACATAACATTGATTTTGTATATATTTTAACATATAATTCATAAATATGTATTTTGAGATAAAAACAATCAAAACAATTAGGACTGCCTTACTTGAACCAAAGATGACCTGACACTGAGCATCGTAGGACTGGCACATGCCATTGTAACAGTAGGCCTTATTGCTCTGGCAAGGGTACCCGTTCTGAACGAAGACATCTGGCTGGCAGAACTGGGAGGAGCCATTGCAGTACTCGGGAACATCACACTCACTGGTTTTTCCTCTGCACAAAGACCCTCCTGGAAGGAACTACGGGAACAAGATTCAAATTAAAGAGCGGTATCAGTATCATCTCCACAAATTCATCATATTTGAAAGCACAGCATAGGTATAAAGGTCCTAATGATAACAAAAGATCAAATTATCTAATAGGAAAGTGAACAAAAGTCAGTAACAAGCAATTCCTAAACATTATAGATGAAAAAACAATCTCATTGGTAATCAAAGAAATTCAAATTAAGTAAAAATACAAGAACACCTCAGAACTACTATACTAACTAGAATTATAGTGCTTGGTAGTAATCCATGTTAGCATAAAGAAAAAGTTAGGGAGGCTGGGGAATGGCTGAGGGGTAAGTGCAGGTGCTCAAGCAAGAGGACCTGACTTCAGGCCCTCAGCACCCAGGTAAAAGCCGGGCCTGGCAGCATCTCCAAGCATGGGAAGTGGAGACAGGAATATCCTGGGGCTTACTAGTCAGCCAGTCTAGCCAGTCCGCGAACCCAGGTTCAGTGCTGAGGTTACAAATGCATGTCAGTGTTCTTTTTAATGAATGAATTCCTGGAATCAAACTTGGGTCCTCTTTACCAACTAACTCCCCAGGCCCTAATTGTCTATACTCTAAACTTTGGTAGTTTTGAATTACCTCTTAACAAATACAAATTACTTGAAAAATCAAGGAAAGAAATATTGGGGATATATCTCAGTGACAGTGTTTACCAGGCAAGGGCAAAGCCCTAGATTTAATTTCCAGTACCAAAAACAAACAAAACAAACAAACTGAATAGACATGTATCATAAAGAAAAGTTTTAAAGTGCATGTGATATAAAATAGAAAATGACCACATAATTAAAATGGCATTTAGAGGTCTCAGAAGAAAAATTTCGATATATCGATTTTTCCTCCAGATAGGGAGAATTCCTTGCCTGGCAATCCTTACAACAGTCGCCATATGCACATTCAGCAAATGACTTGAGCTTACAAGTGCTTCCTTCACAGCATGGGTCCAGTTCACACTCCTGCAAACAGAAGATGATGCTGTAAATAAACAAGTCACTGACATGAACAGCCATCCACAAGGTTCCTTTCCTGTCCTACAATATGTTTCATTCCAAACTACCCATAAAAGTAGTCTCTACCCACATGTCCCAACTGTGCTTCTAGGCTGATCAACCCCTAGCTACAAGTATTTAGGTCTCAATATATTCCAAAAGACTGCCTTAGACTGCTCTTAATATCGTAAGATACCACAGACTGGGGCACTTAAACCACAGTTTGAAAGCTGGTAAGCCAAGATAGAGTTCTCACAAAGTGTCCCAGAGATGCTGGCAGCCGGCTGCCCTGTGCTGACGAGAGCAATTCTCAGTGCTGCCAAGATGGAGTTCCCACAAAGAGTGTCCCAGTGACGCTGGCAGCCGGCTGCCCTGTGCTGATGAGGGCAATTCTCAATGCTTCCACTCAGTGAGAACACTCCAGAGATGGCTGGGGCCTCTTCTAAGGATGGTAATCTCGTGGATCAGGGCTCCACCCTCCAGTTCTTATTTATCCTAATTATTTCCTCAGAGACACCACTGCCAAACACCACTGTGTTGGTAGTTACACCTTTGACACATGAACTCTGAGCGACATAAATACTCACTCTGTGATTACGTGTTTATGAGCACAAAGCAGCAAGCATCCATGGATGCTTTTCTCTTCGAGCTCAGGCTCTGACTACTTATGAGTGACTCTGCTCTAGGTGGGCACTCTATTCCCAGTGCCCTGCACATGCTAAGCACACGCTTCACACCTAGCAGCACTGTTCTGGGCTTCCTGTGGGCCACCACAGTGATGTTTCCCCTACAACCTCCCACCCACATTGACACCTGTGTTCATACAGCAATCTTAGTGTCCTGATTTTTATACTGTGCAAGCCTTACGAGCTGTCACTGGGAAGACGGGCAGAGGAACAGTGGGAATTTGCAATTTGTCAGCCTACAATTATTTCATAATAAAATTAATTTTTCTATTAACTCAACATATGACTATTTTACATGTCTATGAGATAAAAGTGTGATATTTTATATATTGAATGTGCACTGATCAAATCAGAGTATTTCGAATTTCTATCTTGCAATAAAAATAAGCATATTATAAAATAAGTAGACCAGGCGTGGTAGCACACACCTTTAATCCCAGCACTCAGGAGGCAGAGACACGTGGATCTCTGTGAGTGCAAGGCCAGCCTGGTCTACATAGCAAGTTACAGTCCAGTCAGGGCTACACAGACCTTGGCTCAAGAAACAAAAAGAAAAAAAGAGAAATTACAAAACAGGGACTGGAGAGATGGCTCAGTGGTTAAGAGCACTGGCTGTTCTTGCAGAGGACCTGGGTTTGATTCCCAGCACCCACATGGTAAATAACAACCATCCATAGTTCCAGTTCCAGGGATTCAATTCCCTCTTCTGACCCCCATGGACACTGCATGCCTATGATGCACACACATACATGCAGGCAGAACACTCATGCACAGAAAAACAAACAACTTTTAAAAATAATAAAGACAAATAAACTGCAATCTAGACCTTCAAACCGTTAAGTCAAAATGGATCATGAGCCTACATTAAAAACCTGGGACTATGAAACTTCTAGGAGAAAACATGTGCAAGTTGGGAGTGTTTGCTCATCTTTAGACTCTGAAGCTCCAGTCACAGAAGCACAAAGTGGCAAAACCAATCCCACCCACATGCAAAAGCTCTGCTCTTCCAAAGACACTGCACACTATTAAGCAAGACGTAACTTGCAGAAACATTTACAAATTAAGTATCTGACAAAAGACAGATATATTCAGAATATATAGAAAATATTCTCAAAACTCAGTAACAAATAATTAACTTTTAAAATGGAGGTCAAGGAGCTGGAGAGATGGCTTAGTGATTAAAAAGTGTTTGCTATTCTTACAGATGATCCAATTCAATTTCCATCACCCATATCTGGTGGCTCACAGCTGCCCCTTACTCCAGCTCCTGGAGGGTCCAAGACCTAATTCTGGCCTCCACAGGCACCAGCACACACACACACACACACACACACGTGTAATATACTCACACATATACATAAACAAAAATAAAATAGGAGTAAAGAGTTAAACAGACACCACAAGATACATGGGTGGCAAACAAGCACATAAAAGCCTGCTCAACAGCCCTGCACAGTAGGGGGACAGTCAAGCCTTCATGAGGCATCACTTCCCACATGGCAGGGTGACCCAGGGTAAAAGGACGGCCCACAGAGCTGGCGAGGACATGGCAGAGCTAGAACTCACACAGGTGACAGGGTAAGGAATGTGCGAGCACTTCGAATGCAGTTAGAAAGCTTCTTAAAAGTCAAACACACAAGGGCTTGGAGAGAGGGCTCAGTAGTTAAGAACACTGGGTTGTCTTGCAGAGGACCTGGGTTCAGTTCCCTCATGGCAGCTAACAACCATTCTTAACTCCAATCCCAGGAGAGCCAACACCTTCTTCTGGTTTCCACAGGCATTGCGTGACATGGCTGCTCTTACATACATTCAGGCAAAATGCTCATATACATAAAAGAAGAATAAATAAATAGTTCAACATACAACTACCATGATACCAAACATTCCATTCCCATTTCCCCCAAAAGAAATAAATAGCAAAGTCCATGTGAAGGCTATGTGTACAGACATGCTCTAGAGTGTGATACCCAGAAACAGAAAATTGCTTAAATATCCATCAATACACGTGAACACATAAACAAGCCACCATATATTCCTACTGCTCAGCAATAAATGATGGACTACTGGGACAACTGTGGCATGAGTGAACCTCAAAAAAAATCACACCGAGTAAAAGAAGCAGAAGAATTCACATAAAACTCTACAAAGTGAATACTAATGCATAGTGACCAAAAGTCTGTGGTCCCTAAGAAAAATGGGAGCATAAGAGGGGGGGGAGAGAAGTGATTATCAAAAGGGCTGGGATATAGCTCAGTGGGAGAACACCTGCCTAGCATGAACAAGATATGAGGGACACACACACACACACACACGAGAGACAGAGAGACAGAGAGACAGACCCTAACACAATCAGTCACAAGTCAAGTACTCACATCACAATAAAATTCTTCTAAGATGGAATTCCCAAAATAAAGTCAACACTTACAAATGTACATACCATATATTCTATAAATGTATAAAATCTAAAAGAAATAAATACAGCAAACAAATTAGAATAGCATGTTGTAGAGAACCAAGTAAAATACTGAGGTATATAAAGCTAGTCTTACTTGGCTATTTGAAACTTTACACCAAGAAAAAAACTGTATTTGAAGGTCAGGAAGTGGTCTGTTTGCTTGTTTGGTTGGTTGTTGTTTTGCTTTTTAGGCAGGGTCTCACTGTGTAGCCTTGCTGACCTGGAACTCACTATGTAGACCTGGCTGGTGTGGAACTCAGAGATCCACCTGCCTCTGCACCCCAAGTGCTGGGATTAAAAGTGTGTGCCATGAAACCCAGCAGGGAGTGCTTTTTGAAAGAGCAATTTTATAGTGAGACAGTTCAAGAAGTAAACAAGTACCGTTTCAGTAAGTGTGGTGGTAAGCAGCTGGAAGGAAACAAGACCAACAGGTATTTAAGGAGAAAGACCACCAAAAAAGGCTGGAAGGGAGACAGTCGTTATATCTTCATTTTGAAATTGGGCCTGAGGACATTTATCAGTGGCAGAGCATGTGCTCTGCATGTGTGAGGTCCTGGGTTCAATTCCCAGAGTGAAAAAAAAATATAACCAATAAGAATTAAAAATAACCTCATTAGGCCTCACTCACCTCACTTGAAAACTAAAAATGTCAGTCTCTTAGGCTTGCTATAGAAATCACACTAGGAAAATCCTTACAGAAGTCCAGGGCATACAGCAATCATGGAGGAATAGAAATGGCTTCATCTTACGATACAGGCAGACTTTCAGGACCAGGTTGGTAAGGCCAGGAAAAGAAAGAAAGCAAAGCGACTTCCGCACAACTTCCCAAGTGTGTTCAAAACTTAATGGCGCCTGAGAGGAAAGGGCTTAATGGGCCATTGAGAGGAGTACGGCTCGACAGCAGTCATGACGGAGGTGGACATCACCGAGGACCATGGGGCCAGAGCCACAGAAGATTCCCAAGGGGAGAAGGAAGCTTTGAGTGGCAAGGTCTGACACGAGGTCTGAGGGGGGGCCACTGCGGCTCTCAGTGAGTCCAGCTGAAGACCCCTTCCACAGCAGCAGTGCCAGGGCGGAGCATCTAGTAAAGAATTGACCAACTGTTTAAACAAGCAAGCTAAGGACCATAATAAAAATAAAGACAAATAAGAAAATAAGTAAAAACAGAAGGATGGCCCGGGTGCTTTCCTCAAATCATGGCACTGCTGGTCAGACCCCTGGATGGCCAGACCCAGAAACACATTCGGACAGACGAAGCAGTAGTCTTCCCTTCATCTCAGCTCCCCTGCCAGAGGGGCTCAAAAACAGTGGCTTATATTTGCGAATCTCATACTGACTTCAGAGAGCAAAAGTGGAAACAACTGACCTTTGGAGTGCCACAGTCACACTCTTCCCCAGGATCCACCAGCTTATTACCACAGAAGGGTGCACTGTAGGCTTCGTCAGGCTTCGGGACATTGAGAAGGCAGGCTCCTCCTTTGTTTAAAGTTAGTTTCTCAAAGTCCTCTGCACTGCAGCTGCTGAAGTTTCTGGAACCTCTACAATAAATATTAAGAAAAGGCTCTTGTGTCATAGCAATTGTTCAATTTTGAAACTTCAAGTCATGTCCTTAACCATCAAGAAGGAAATACTGTAGATGGCAGGAAGTAAACAGAAGAAAGCAGAAGTGACAGTCAGTTCCCACCAAGAGACACGGCTACTACTGCAGCTACTATGTGGTTCGCTACTTTTGTTATTATGTGTTCTACCTCCATGAAAATACATTCCAAATGTATCATTTACACTGAAGCACAAAATCAAAATTCTCACAATCCACAAAGACCTTAAAAACCTACCTGGGCTTATGCAAAATTGAGCTTTATGTAGTTAACATACCAAAAGCTCAAATACTAGAAGTATGTAAATGTTTCCCCAGCGATTTGTACTCTACAAGGTGATGCTTTGACCTTCCCCTGCCCCCAACTCATTCATCGGGAGCCATCTAAAACCATGAGTGGGCAAGTCCAGCACAGCTGATCCACAGTCACCCTGAGGCAGCTGGCACAGTGCAGAAAATAATGTCAGCAACTCTTATGCCAGTTCTTTAGTTTGACCTTGAAATATCTTTTATGGTAATTCCTGAGAATAGTGGCTAGTACCCTGAAGGTTAGGTGAGCTTTAAGAAACTATCCAACCTGAGCTAGGCACGTGAGTCAAACAAGTGCAATTCTGATATGCTGTGTCTGGGTTTGTTTGGTTGTCACTGTATTATTTTCTTTTTCTTAAGATACTGATTTACTCAATAATTACAAAATATTGCCAGGTAGTCCTATTGACTATTTTTACCTTTGAAAACTAATAGGAAGTAAACCTTTATCCCACGTATCTTTGAGAAACCCAGATCACATTAAAATTACCTGGGGTAGTTCTGTTATCTACTAGCTAGCTATCATCTGAACTTTTAGTGTGATATCCAGATGTCTTTATCCCTCTGTGGAAAGGAGGGTAGTGACTGCAGTGTGGATGGATGAGTGCACTCCAATTACTTAGACATTTGCAACACTTACACTGTCGTGTATGGGTTTGTGTTCATAGATGTGCATGCAGAATAGAATACTGCCGGGCATGGTAGTGGGCGCCTTCACCTAGCACTGGTCTCTGAGGAAACTAGGCCAGCCTGGTTTCCACAGTGGGTTCCAGGCAAGCCAGAGCTATACAGTAAGATTAGAGTGATATAGTAGTAACATTGTCAGGAAAGGTTAGGGGAACAATAAGCTGAGGTGGTTGCAGTTTCAAAAGTAAAGTCAGGACAAGCACTTCGTATACCAAGACACTTCAATCAAACCTGAAAATCTGGGAAAATTACAGAAAGAATGAACACTGACTGGCAGAGCCATGCACAGGGCACGGTCAGTGAGCAAATGAGCAAGACCTGATGAGGAGGGCCAGAAGAGGCCGCAGTGAAAACATGGCCTGCAGTGAAAGGAGTCTGGGAATGGACCTGAGGACACACAAGAAACAGGACACAGCTGCCATGCAGACAGGAAGACCACAAGAGGGTTCTCACAGGACCCACCCACCAATAACAAGACAGACTGGCATCACTGGAGTCAGGAAGCACACTGTGCATTTGAAACAAGCATGTGAGAATAAACGAGACATCAAGGCTGCCTGCGAGAGTACGGTGCTGAGACACAGGAGGAAGGTTAGCATTAGCTAAAACAGGGAAGTCGGTCGGCAGATCAGAGCTTAGGAGGGAGAACAACGTATGAGACCATTAGCCATCAAGTGAAAACATTGAACATGGAGTATGCAACCCTTGCTTGATAGGAAAGGGAGGCAGCACTCTAAACAGGTTGGCAAACATCGGCTTCCTCCATTGACTGTGGCCACTGCTGGTCCTGCCACACCATTCACACATGATGTCTGTAAGAAGGCATCAATTAAAGCCCAGTGGCAGCAGCTGTGCCAGCACCCATCTATCCTACACCTGAGACCCTAATTACGATCTGCATAAAGCCTATGACCTGTAAACAGCTGTTTCAAGAATCTTGTAGTTTACACCCATTTTCTTTTAAACAATGTTTCAAAGTTTGAGTCTTGAGCAAGGTAACAAAAAAAAAAAATCAGTTTCAACTTGAAGTTACTGTAGCACTGAAAAATCCTGAAATCATGAGCTCATAGGGTTCTTCACACATCAGACAGGAGATGGGACTTTATAAACATAACCTAATATTGCTGCAATAAAGCCTTAAAGACTGAAGTCACAGGAAAGAGGCCCCTCACTGTCCCTGGATGGCACCCACAGAGAGCATCATCTTTCAGAAACAGTTAGGGTATGCCCATCCTCTGCCTGTCCCCCACAGTATACAAGTTGTGGTTTCAAGCATCTCCCCCTCTTTTCTCACTAGGTAAACCTGAAAACTACTTCAGAATGAAATTGACAATGAAGGAAATGATCTATCTACCAGGAAATTACAAAACAATCACTTGTCATGACTCAACATATCAGAATATGTTTCAAGAACCCAGGGACTCCCAGTGTTCAGCAGATTAAGAAAAACAAGCACCTGATTATGAAAGAGGGACAGATTTAGAAAAGAAAACCATCTCTCAACCCTCCTCATCCTCCTCTTTGAACAGGTCTCACAATGTAGCACAGGCTGGCCTCAAACTGGCCATCCTCCTGCCTCAGTGTCTTAAGTGCCACCACTTCTCATGAAAAGCTCCAACCAGGAAGAACTCTTGACACTTTCGGGAATCCAAGAGCAGAGCTTGAGAACAACACACCTCGGCCAATATCACAAAAATTGAAATTTGGGGGCCGGAGAGATGGTTCAGTGGTTAAGAGCACTGGCTCTTTTGGCAAAAGACCTGGGTTCAAATCCCAGCACCCGCATGGCAGCTAACCACTGTCTGTAACTTCAGTTCCAGGGGATCCGACAACCTCTTCTGTCCTCCCCGAGCACTGCAGGACACTTACCTACACACAAGCAATACACGCATACACATAAAATAAAAATAATAAATAAAATTTTAAAAATAAAGATAATTTTAAACAATTGAAATGTTAATATGGCAAATTTCGAGAGTCACCAATGAAACTCTTTGACTGTAAGAGACAAGATCTGTAAATGAACTTATTAAGCCACTGAGGCAAGAAAAATACAATAAAAATGTATCCAGCAGCTGGGCAGGGTAGGCCATGCTTATAATGCCAGAACTCAAGAGGCAGAGGCAAGATAAGGTCAGCTTGGCCTACACAGTACGTTCCAGGTCTGCCAGGGCTATATACTGAGTTTCTGTTTCAAAACAACAACAAAAGCATCCAAATTGAGAAGGGAAACAAAAAATGTCCCTGTCTGTAAATGAAATGATCATTAATACAGAAAAATGTAAACCCACAAGACTGTTATGACTAATAAGTAAACTAAATAAAATTGTGGAGTATAAAACCGACACACACACAAGATCAACTGCATTTCTACACATTAACAACAAACTATCCAAAAGAGACTGTAAGAAAATGGGGCCAAAAACAACGAAATACGTGAGACGAGACAATGAAGTAGAAGACGTACACCCTAAAACCCACAAGCTGCTGCAGGAAGAAATCAGAGAGGAAGCAACGAGTGGGAAACCGTCCCGTGCTGTGGGCTGGGATATGGGACGCTACCCAGATTATCAAATCAATCCAAACAGGTAATGGAATTCTTATCAAAATTCCAATGCCTTTAATTCCAGCACTTAGAAGGCAGGGGCAGGTGAATCTCTGTGAGATCGAGGTCAGCCTGGTCTACATACTAAGTTCCTGGAGGTTGGGGCTAGGGAAGACCCTATCAAAAAACAAATAGCAACCAAAAAAATTCCCATGCCATTTTAAACAAAATTTTTCAATTCTAATATTCCCCTTACACCACAGAGGACTGTGAGTTGTGGAAACAATCTTAAGAACAAAACTGAGAACATCACATGTCCTCATTTCAAAGTACATCACTAAGCTACTATAATTAAAGCACCATGGTTCTGCACAGACAGATTAATAAAACATAACACAGAACGGGGAATCCCTGAGCATATGCTCAACTGATCTTTGATCCAAGGAGCCAAACTCACGGAATAGGAAAAAAAAAAAAAAAAACTCGACAAGTAATGAGGTTAGGAAAATGCCTATCTATATGCAAAACGTGACCTGGGGACTTATCTCAAAACACAGGCAAACAGTGGCTTGAATAAATTAAAGATTTAAATGTAAGATCCGACTTTGTAAAACTGCATGGCCTTGGCTGTAGCAGGGACTTCGTGCATACACAGCACACAACCACCAAAGGAAAAACACACCGGTAGCGCCACCTCCACCCAAAGACCTGTGAGGCATGAAGACCCAGACACACACACACACACACACACACACACACACA